AGACTTTCTATTTCTGTCCTGTGTGAGGAGGTCAGATTATAATCACGTTAGAGCTGAACACAGTGCTTTATTAATGTTTCATGAGTGAGTTGGTCGTAATCAGCCTGGCTTGGTGTGGATAAATTAAACCAATTCTTGATGTATGAACTCAGTGCATTTTGAATTTATTGGAATGTCTATTAAAAGTGTGGATCACTTTTTCAGGTTTTCTGATGAGACCAAATTTGGAATTTCATAGTTCTTCAGTGAAACACAATCCTCATCACTGTAACTAGAAAATATAAACAACTCTAACTAATTACATACATTATTGCCTATAACTAAAAAAACAATAGTTCACTGAAAGAAATACATCATTAAAAATGAACGTAGTGTTTCATTCTTAACAATAAGAAAAGAAATGAGGTTGTAGACATGTAAAGGCTTCTACAAATGCATCAAATGCCTTTTCAATTGCTGGCATGAGATAATTAGAAACTGATTATTTATAATCAATGATATCATCCCTTTTCATAATATTATTTTTGTCTGCTTTGCCTTGAATGTCTTCATGACAGCTTAAAAAAAGGAGGAGGGAGTACCCACAGATATAGAATACTAATCCATACAAAGACATGAAGGCTTTTTTACCACTGTGAATGCCATGTCTTTGGGATATATGACATTTTCATTTTATATTTTAGGCGCATTACAAAGAACTCCTTCAAATAACTGAAGATAATCCTAGTCCAAATTATAAATATATTAATACTAGAGCACATTTTCTCTAAACCCATTTCATAAGAACTAAATCCTACATGAACTACCCAGCCAGTATAAAGTAAGAAACTTTTATAATGTTATAAAGTAATATAAAAAAATGGATGTTGTGTTCATGGAATTCATGAAAAATTGATAGAAAATTCAAACACTTCTATATTTTATATTACCACTCAGGCTTTGCATATTAGAGAAATACTCATTAAATAAGTATTTCTTCAGCAAAAAAGGAAAATACGTACACAATTTGTTGAATTTTCTAGTTTAAATACAAATGCCTGACACGATATCTGCATGGTTTCAGTTTGATTATTTCCCATCAGTATGGCGGGCCAAATGACCACAACTTGGAGCAAAGGAAACTACGAACAGGGTGCTGTGAAGGGCAACTTTCGGGTGAAGAAAAGCAGTGCAGGTTACACCGAGACAAGAGAGCAGCTGCAGAGCCCCAGCTACATTTTGTAAGATGTCTTTTGACAGCTCTGATGCCTAAGGCTGTTCCCAGAGGCAGTGGCTTGGGTCTGTCCTTTAGCTTTAATTCTGATGCAGCCAAGAATGGTGCTATAGATATAGAATCCTCCTTTTCACATCTGTGGAGTCCCTTCAAGGAAAACCCAGGACAAGACGCAGAAAGAATAAACACTTCTCAAGTCACCTAACATGGGGTAGCTGGGCGCTTCCTGTGTATGATCGACTTAACCTGCCACTGCATCCTGGTACAGCAGAGAACCAAGACTGCGCAGTTTGATTTCCCCAAATCTGCAGGCTTTTGGGTAAAGCCTTTCATCCAGGGAGTGGAAGTTTCATTCCCAAGTCTTACCAGATTCATTAATGCCTATAAGATAACAGGAATTTGGTTTAGAAGAGAGAAAAACCCCAGTGCCTTGCTTCTTTCATTTCCTCATGAACACAAGTTGGAACTTATTACTTACAATAAAAATGTACTACTCATTTCTGAAAATCTTTTATGACATTTTCAGAAATGCAAAAGTATTTGTCGCTCATATTTTAGTCAGTTATCAAATTTAAATCTTTTGAATATGTGAGAGCAAATCTTTGAGGAACAGTTACTTCATAGTATATGCAATCCTTATAGTTCCTGGGACGCTGTCCACACTGGCTTGATGAATACGTAGTTACAATGAGACTAAAGAGTAAGGTTTATTTTAAAGAAGGACTGGATTTTGCCTTGAAGTTTGCTCAGCGGCACTTAAACTGTTAGAGAAGATATAAGAAGTAAAAGGGATGAAAACAGAAGTCAGTTCTTGAACTGGCTGTGTTAGTATCAGGAGTAAATTATTGTCTTTACAGTGTTATAATCATTTCTCAGGCTGTATCTTTCACCTTCCAATGAATAATCTGGGATTCTCTTAAAACCTAAATGATTTAAAACCATTTGGTGAGAATCAGGTATTTCTAAGGAAAAGGGATTTAAAAAAAATCTTACATGGTGATCATATGAATAATGAGATAGGACAGAGTGCTACTGATTATAACTGAATTGTCGGTCTGAGTAAAAATGAGGGGTCTCGAGGTCATCCATGTGTAGATGTAGTTACAAATAACACACAGGTTATATTCCAAAGTTCCTTTATAATTTGGTGTTGGGAACATATATTGTAGTAGATATCGTAGTAGTCTAATATGGTTGGTTCTCAAATCGATAAACAAAGCCATGTTTCATTCAAAATATGGGTGAGGTTTTAAAGACGATAAATTGGTCCAGGGGCCATTACACACAGAGTTCTAATGGGTGATGTCAGGCATGAGACGGAAAAGCACTAAGGTTGATACTTTGGGTACGCCACTTTGCCTTTCTGGACATCAGTCTCTTTATTCAGATAAAGGTCTCATCCACGTCTAAAATCTGTGTGTGACTACAAGAAAGTTTAGAATGTCAGCTAATGCCATTTCCTCCATTTGTAGAGCTGCAGGATAGCTTTCCTCTCATACCTGCTGGCAATAAGACCTGGGACGTCCTCAGCTCTAAGCCCAGATTTTACCGGCTGGGAAAGGGAGCCTTACAGGGTCCGGGCTGGGGGACAGAGTTATAAATAGGATCACTGAGAGTCAGGTCTGCACAGCTGCTGGGGCTCGAACATGCTGCTTATTTGGGGTCAATTCCCATTTATCTCTTTCTTTTCTTCTTCTCACCCCAAGATCCTGGCTTCTGACTAGAAGACATGTTTCTTCTCCTCTCCCTTCCACAGCTCCTCGAGCCACCACTTACTCTATCCTAGAGGCTGTGGATAACAACACTGGTACTGTGGTAAAGAGGTGATATTTGGCAACGTAATTTATCTCGCTAGGTTTCAGGATGATTACTATTTCAGAAATATTTTTTAGAATTAAAAGAATAATGCACCTAAAGCTCTAGCACAGTATCTCATGAAGACTAAACACTCAATTAATGGTGTAGGCTATAAGCACTATTATTGACATTAATCTTGGTCAACCTTTGTATAGGGATGGCTCAGGACCATCCCTGGGGCATGAGGTATGGTGAGTAAGGTTAGGGTACCATCCTTGCAGCAGTTGCCAGCAGTAAGTCTTGGAATGAGGAAAGTGGAGAAAAAACTGTAAGCAACCACACAGGGAAGTAAGGGGCGTGTCCCAGGCCAGCCATATAGCTATTTATATATAAGAAGAGGTATAAATTGGGTACTGTCTATAGTAACATTCCACTTACTAAGGGCAGGGTTTTGTCACTGTGTGTTTCAGTACACAACTTCCACATATCTGAAAGTGCCAATTTACAGATTGAGAGGAATCATGCAAAAAATGTACGCAATACTACGTAGTATTCCCTCAAAGGCGGAGGCTATCTGCAGATTGTCTATCTATATAGTACTTTTAAACATCAGTTCACACTATAGCAACAGTTTTCTCAAATAAAGTATATGAAAAGTAAAATATTTCTTTGAGACAGAAATAAAACTCCAAAAATTAAGGGAGCCTGTGACTAACAGTGAAGTTTAAAGAGAGAGAGAGAGAGAGAGAGAGAGAGAGAGAGAGAGAGAGAGAGAGAGGGAGAGAGAGAGAGAGAGAGAGAGAGAGAGAGAGGGAGACAGGTAGACACAAAATCGGTGGGTAGAGGGAGGGACCATATAGTGTAGATCCTGTAATGTGAAAGCTGCAGAATAGGCAAATCTATAGAAACAGAAAGTAGGCTGCTTAGGGCTGAGTAGGGGAAATGGGGGAGATGCTAAAGGGTATTGGGTTTCTTTATGGGGTGATAATAATGTACACAATTAATTGTGGTGATGGATGCACAACTCTGAATAGAACAAAACCCATTGATTTTTTTACTTTAAATGGGTAAATTGTATGGTACGTGAACTATATTTGTGTGATACATGTGACTAATATAGCTCTTACCGAAAAATGGGAATGAGTGGTATGTGAACCTTATTTGGATTCTGATTCAAATACAGAATATGTAAAAACAAAATAAAACATATTTATGAGACAGTTGGAAAAAAACCGAGAGTGAGTGAAATAGGGTTGAAAACTATATTTTGGGTCATTGGTTTTATTGATATAATTCCTCAATTGACCAAGAATAGTGTACTTTAGAGGCTGTTTGGTAAAATGGTTCATTTCCATATACCATAACCACATAGAGATTAAAATATCCTTAAATATGGATAAAATAGATTAAAATCTATAAAATTCCCACATGCAAACATTCTATGAACACATTTTTTTATTAGAACACCCAAACACCTGTCATACAGATTTTAAAAATAATCACATTTTCTATAAGAATGTTTTCTAGATGGGTGTTCTCTTAAAGTCAAGTATATTACACTGTAAGGTAAGTTTCACAGCTTATAATTCCCTACATACAAATATGTCCTAAATGTAGCTTATTTTGTTTTGAATAATTTATGAGTGAAAAAGGAGTGCAGATTTAGCTAGTAGACAAAAATAAGGAACGGGCATTTATTTTAAGCATTTTAAAATGTTATATTGGTCAACAGATGCTCATCTGATTGTCTTCTCCTAAGGGAGCAAATATAACTAAATTACCATTCCTTTATTAGTCCTCATGAAAGGAAAATCCACTCTACAGTAAAGAATGCTGTCAAAAGGCAACAGTAAATGTTTTCTTTTTTTCCTTAAATTTTAACCTTGTATTTATAGATGTTAAATGACAATTTGTTAATAGAAACAAAAGACTACTACAAAGCATTTTGACTTCTTGGTGATTACTCAAGCAAAAACAAAATCTCTCTTACCATCCTGTTGATCCGTACAAAGTCTTCAGGTTTTTTTGCCCAAGGGGGAAGATCAACATCATTTACCACCACTTCATCTTCTCTGACTCCAAGATTATAGCCGTTACTGTTGACAAACATCTCTGGTAGGTAATAGAACTCTGGAATTAGCTCCTGCCAGAAACAAAAATGTGGCACATGAAACCACTTTAAAAATCAGTTGAATAAAACTATTCACTTACAACAACTGTAAATTGAATTAAACAATTTCTCTACTTAAAGCCAATATTTTATTACTTAATTCTATTCTTAATTTGTTTTGAGAAACAGTCTAGGAAGAGAAGGTAAACATAGTTCTTAAATAATTTGCTTGATAATTTATGTTTATAAGATTTTTAATCTTATCTTGCCACAAATTAGTCAAGAGAAATGGTTTATAGAGTCAACAATAGCATTAGTAAACAAACATATAAAGCGATATTTACAAGTCTCTGCTGTCCAGCAAATCTTTTTGAATATTATTGATGAAATACCCAAATTAAAAAAAAAAAGTTGTTGCCAGTATTGGTTAACAATCATGTACAATCTTCTTCTTCTTTTTTTTTTTTAACTATACTGGGAATTATAATATATGCTTTCTATAAAAAAATTGTTTTATTTTATAATTTGGCAAAATAAATTATTTTTATATCCACCACTAAACTCAGTGAAGAGATAATACGCAATGTGATAATAAATTTTAAATATTTAATGTATGCCACCAGAATAGCAAGTTCTTAGTAAACTGGATGCAAAGCCAACTTGTATTCCTTATATAGAAGTATGGCCTTAATGACTGCACTTAAGGAAAACGTGTTTGATGTGCAATGTCTAATATGTGGTTTATGTGACTTTAGAATAAATCTTATGTCAAAATAAACTGACTTTATCACCCTAAAATTTTTTATTTGTTGTCTGTTTTTTAAAGCACAGGAGAAAATAAAAACAAACAAAAAAACCTACTGTAGTTGTTATTTACACCATGGAGACCATGAAAACATACTGATCTTTTCAAACATGAAGATGAGAGTTAAATTAACTTTATATTATAATGTGAAAAGCATAAGGATATTTGTTTGTGTAACATAATTAACATTACAAATTAATTGTCTGGATAAATAGAGCTTAGCTTTTTAAGAATCACAGTTTTTCTTCTACTTAAACCATTTAAATAGAAATATTTCTAAAGTTTATTACCTAATTCCCTGATAGTTATTTATTCATATAGTAAAGTCTAAGGACCAAGCACTGTGCTGGGTACTAAGAAAACAGAAAAATGAACAACACATGGCCTTCCCTTTGAGTAATTCATGTGTGCTCTACGGGGAAGGTGTATAAACAGATGGTCACGACAGACAACAGTAATAGCTGGGAGAGAATTACAAAGTGCAAGGGAGCAGAGAGGGGAGCAGGGGACTCTGGACAACTCAGAAGAGACTTCACTGGAGATGGGGCCTTTGAGTTAGAGCACGGCTAAGATAAAGACAGGGGAAAGGAGTGGGGGACCACCAGGGAGTATTATCAAGGAATGCCAGGAAATGAGTATGGGTGGAGTATAGGATAAGTTAGGAGACAGATCAAGATGGGGACGAGATGGTAGGAGGTATACAAAGCCAGATGATGATGAAGGAAGTTTCATGCCAAGCTAGGCCATTTGGATTATGTCTCATTGGTAACAATTTTAAAGAAGGGTTATTGACATGATCAAAGTTATTTCAAAGGAAGACATTGGATGACAATGTGAATGGCTGATTAGAGAGGGGAGAGACCAGTACGTGTGTGTGTATGTGTGTGTGTGTGTGTGTGTGTGTGTGTGTGTGTGTGGTGGGGAGATGGTGGCATGGAGACGGGGAACCAGCAACAGCAAGGAGGGCAAGAGGAAAGAGGGAAGGGTAACTGCTAGTGGTGGTGAGCAAGGGGACATACCATGGGACTTTATCAAGGAGAGGGAATATGCAACAGAGGTAAGTAAATCAAGTTGGGGACTCGAGGATGCAAAGAAGAGAAGGAATCAGATGGGTCATACTGAGAGGCAAATATATATTAACTATAAACTATGTACAAGACATCACAGCCACAGTGAACTGTGGGAAAGGAGAATGACAGTGAGATTAATATCATTTAATATATTTTCAGTGACTTGAATGTGAAAAGAGAAATTGAGGACTAAAAGGAAAATTAATAGGTAAATAAACACCCTTATTTGCAAATAGTCTAGAGCTTAATTGGTGGATAAAATGGGGGCTAAGGTGCTTCAGCAGTATGAGATTAGCAAGGATTATAATGAGATCAGGTTCTGGGCTAGGTCAGCATGACAGTGTGTGTTATATTGAAGTGAAGAAGCAATTTGGTAAAGGTTTGTGGTCACTGATGAGAAGGCACAAGTGAAGTATCACTGCTATTTTCATATATTTGTACTCAATCAGAAATGAGCAATAATTCAAATATTGAAACCCTATCCCCTAATGGGATGGGGTAGTATTAGGAGGTGGATCAATTAGGATTAGATTACTAGGTCATGAGGATGGGCCCCTGTGAATGGGATTAGTGTCCTCCTCAGAGTCCTGAGAGAGCTTGCTTCCTCCCTCTGTCATGTGGGGACACAGCAAGAGTACAGCCCTCTATGAACCAGGAAGCAGGCTCTCCCCACACATAACCTAACTATGTGGGCACCTTGATCTCGGACTTCAAGCGTCCAAAACTGCAAGAAATAAATTTCTGTTGTTTATAAGCTACCCAGTTTATGGTAAAATATAGCAGTCCGAGCTGATAAGAATTATAATTATTAACTTATTATTTTAACGCATTAAAATAAAACATACAATTTTCTTTTGATCCAGCTCTCATCTGGGAAAACATGGGAAATCAGTAAAAGATGTAGAGGAGATAAAGGGCTGCTGTTTGCACATTGCCCATTTTATAGGACACTGAATAGCAACAGCATTCCAAATGGTCTAAAAGGGGGAAAGGAATGTAAGCTCACGTAGCTGTTTGGTGTGGAGGGTGATTTACATGTAATAGGCTCATGTAAGTCAGGGGTTTCCCTACTGCCTTCCGCAAGTTATTTGTGTTCATGTCCTCTCTCTAGAACTAGACGATAGAAGCTTCCTTGAGGACAGACAGGGGTATATGTCCACATGGATACAGTTTTTTTCTTTTTCTTTCTTTCTTTTTTTTTAACAGCCTAAACACTTTTAATTTATCTTCAACTGTCTCAGTCCTCAAATGTTTTTCATATATATTATTTCCCATTCCTTCCTGCGGAATAGGGGTTATACACACACACACACACACACACACACACACACACACACACATGCACACACACACATATGGTTATTATTAACCTACTTACCACTATAATAGCATTTCACTGAATGACATTAAATTAGATTCACAAAGGCATAAGGAGCCTAGATTTTTATACGAATAACAATTTGGGCAAAAGCAGATTTTTAGCCTTAGTTTGTGAGGCTTATATTTTGTTGAATTCCCCATAGCTCTTGGTGGTATATTTTGTATGCAGCAGGTGCTCATTAAATATTAAAATACTGAAGGTTTTAGATAAAGTTATTTCAATATCACTAGAAATCTTCTGGGGGTATGCAGATGGTTGGAAAAATGCTTCAAGATAGGAAAAGAGCCAATGAAGTGCTTTATTAAATGAAAGATAAAGGATGAGCCCAGAAATAAAATTTGTACCTCTTGAGGGGAAACTTTTGCAGTTTAAAAAAAAGGTTATCTTGCCCACGTGAGTTTTGTTAAAAGACTCAGGAGTGTCAAAGAGTTCCATTCAAATTTAGAAAAATTGAGTTTTAAAGTTGCCAGCAAAATTGTACCCAAAGTGCAGAAGTGAGAGAAGCAAGACCTATTTCATTTTAATTTAAGAACTCTGGAAAGAAGGGACTAAGGGCCGGCCTCCCACAGGGAGAACCCAGGGCGGTTGAGAAGCGGCTGCCCTGCTGGATGTTGGAATGACAGGAGGAAGAGCACTTCAGCAGGAACATTCTGGAAGGTGTTAATTGGGGCCAGTCATGAAGAAGGGGCACCACCAGGGCCTTCAGGACGAACCCCCAAGTGAGACGCTTTCTCCACTCCAGTCCTTATTTGACTGACCAGAATGTGGCCTTTTATTACTATTATTACTAAAATATATTGGGGTGACATTGGTTAGTAAAGTTACATGGGTTTCAGGTGTACAATTCTGTAATACATCATCTATATATTGTATTGTGTGTTCACCACCCAGAGTCAGCTCCCCTCCCTTCACCAGAATGTGGCCTTAAATTAGGGTGGTAACCAAGGTGTTGGCGTAAACTTTAGGGGCTTGATGTTTGAAGGGCAGACAAGCTCTCAGATTTCTAATAGTGGGAGCAGTCACAAAACAGGTGCATTCTAAAAGTGATGATGAAGACATTCCTGGAGTGCAGCTTACTGTCAGGACTCCTGGGAAAGACCAGGAGCTGTACGGGACTACCCTGAAGTCCCGAGCTGGGGGAGTTTGGGTTTTGTTCTGAAGGGAAGGAAGAGGGAGTGAAATCACTAAAAGTCTAGGGCGACCTCGCTGAAGCGGCACAGCGGGTGCAGATTTGATGCCTCGGTTTCATTGTTTTACATCTTGTTTCAAATGGCATTTTCAATTTAAAAGTTAATACGTCAAGGTGAATTTACATTCACATTTATATTATTTTAAAAATTGCTTATTTAAAAAGAATAAACCTAATGAATAACAGAGTTTCGTCTCTGAGATTCAACTGTTTCCAAGAAGGTGACAATTATGGTATCTGTGCTCAAGGCAAGGAATCAGCTGAAATGCCACCTCTGGTCACTCAATCTTAAAACGGCAGGTTTTGTTTTGTTTTGTTTTGTTTTGTTTTGTCTTGTTTGTGTCTTACTGTGTCTTGTTCTAAGTGCTGCACGGATTCCACTTAATCTTCACAAAGGCTTCCTAAGTAGGTATTCTCATTCTTCCCACTTAAGACATGAACACTGAGGCAAAGAGGGTAAGTAATTTGCTAACGAGTATGCTGCATGTAGGTGGCAAAGCCAGAAATCAAACCCAAACACTTGAAATCCAGGGTCCTGGCTCTCACAGTCTCCATTTCGCCTTTTAAAGCAGCAGCCCACTCACTCTA